TTTTTTTTTCAAATGTGCACCAGTTCTATACAAACAGCTCTAGAGATTGGTAGAGGTAGAATTATTCCTGTGATATATCTTGGCTATCATGCTCATTGAACTTTCATTATTCAACTCTTTAAAAACTGAATTTAGCGAGAGCTTTCAATTATAGTATGCAAATGCTTTCTTAAGTGGAGACGACACTCACGAATCCGTGAAATTCTTGGAGTTCAACTCGAAAACGTTTTTCTTTTTCCTTCTGCCACCTATTATCCTGGAGTCAGCGTATTCATTACGAGATCGAGCATTTCTGGAAAACATCGGAACCATTATTCTTTACGCAGTCGTGGTATGAACTCCACGATGGCATATCGCTCCCACGGTCTCATATCTAGGGTACAGTGTTGAATATAGTGCTCATCGGAGTATGTCTGGTTTTACTCTCTGATATCGGATGGATTGGCGGTTTCATAATCGACCCTTTGGACTGTTTCGTGTTCGCCTCTTTGATTGCTGCTGTGGATCCTGTAGCGGTACGTTAAAGGCAGCGTCCAGCTAAAATAAGATTGATGTACAACCGCACAGTAGCGTTGTGCTAGCTAAGTAATCGCTCAAGTCCAGCTGCAAAAGATGAATTAAAACGAAAAAATCGCCCCAGAAAGTAGAAGCGGCCCAGGAGGCAGTGGTCTGAAGACAGTAAGTCGGAAAATGTGTTGATGTATCTAAGACTGTCATAAACCCTTCGTTCTATGTTCTTAAATTTTCGACATTTCTATCTATCTCAAAGACCCAATTTGGACTTTGATTTTCAGGCCACCACGTTGATGGGCGATGCTTTCTGTGCCGTTCTAACTTCTGGAGCAATTTTCTCTTTCCTTAATCCGCCTTTTGTAGCTGGTTTTAATCGATTACTTAATTAAGAGCACGTCTATTCACAGCGTCAAAATCTCACAAACCTCGATTTTGGGTGGACGGAGCTTTGACTGGCACGTTGTTAGTTCCCTATATTCTTTCAGGTTCTTGCAATATTTCAAGAGGTTGGAGTCAACAAAATGCTATACTTTATGGTATTCGGAGAGTCCTTGTTGAATGATGCGGTCACTGTCGTTTGCTATAATTTGCTTAATGATTTCAAAGAGTTGGAATCTATCGAGTTTCTAGATGTGAGCTACAGATTCATTGTGCCAGCACCGATTGGAATTTTCCAGTGCTTTATGGGTTTGCTGGCCTTCCTTTGCGTATCTTTAGGAGGACTGGCGATAGGCTTATTTTCTGGTTTTATGTCTGCTTTTGTCACAAAGTTTACCAAACATGTGAGAGGTAAGTATCTGTGCCGCGGCACCTAAATTATATAAATCTTATCTGCATAAATTTCGATAACGGTTATGTATTTAGTTGTTGAACCAGTGATCATGTTTGGTATGGCATACCTAGCCTACATGGGCAGCGAATTATTCCATTTTTCTGGAATCATAGGGTAATTTTATATAGCTGAAGTCTGTTTGCTTGTACTATGTATGTCTACCTGTAGTATGTTACGAATAGAAATTATTTCTGACCGACCCGGACCAGACCTGGCACACACAAACTCCGGGGCAGGGCGGGTGTCTACGCTATTAGGTTGATGCATAATTCCTGCACCAAAACGGGTA